TTAGTCATTTTTTGCAAACCTTTAAACAACTAATTTACCAAACACATGGTATTATCTTATAGCCTCATGAAGATGGTCCTCTTTATTATCCAGTGGTAACTACTGTGAGTTTAGGCTCACATACTTTGCTTGACTTTTATTCTCAGATCAGTGACAACACAGAAAATGTAAGCAAAATAGGAAATATTAAGTAGCTGAATAGTTTAATTTAGGAGAAAAGTGATCTTGAGTCTCGCTACCAGTTCTCTCTTCTCCTAGAACCATGCAGTTTGCTGGTGTTACAGAAAGACATGTATACCTCATACCTTCATGGCATAGGGGTAGGAACAAACTAAAAGTTGGGGGGCTAAGGTATTATTTTTACAATTGATCATTAATACATAGCATGTACTGAAATTAATACTGTCCAAAATATTGGCTTCTATGCTCATTAAATGTAACAAATTCCTTTGCAATGTCCTCGATGTGTAAATCATCTGTAAATTCTTTGTGTGTATGCAAAATAACTACATGATTAAGACGCTCTTGTGACATTGTGGAGCGCAAGTAGTTTTTAATCTCCTTAACGTCAAAAATGTATGCTCAGCTGAAGCTGATGTTAACAGAGTTGTTAAATACAGAAGTAGAAGCTTGTGTATTTCTGAAAAAACTAATAAAAGTGTGTTCTTAGAAGTTAAGCTAGTGCATTAATTGTTTTATTAAACGAATCATTACACAATATGCACACATATAAGGATTACCTAAACCAAAGTCTATTATAGTGTTGATAATAGTAATACATGTACATCACTTAAAGTTGGAGGGGCTATGCCCCCCTTCAATGAAAGTTGGGGGGGCTTAAGCCCCTCCTGCCCCCCTGTTCCTACCCCTATGCTTCATGGTATAGCAGAAAGAAAGGAAGACATCATTACTAACAATATAATAAACTTGTCATATTGTCAGTCAAATTGTAGAGAAGGAGAGAGACTGACAAGAGGTACACGTGTCTCTCTGACAATACGCCATGTACCAAAAACAATTAGAATGAAAATAGGAAGATGATGAAACTAGTATTGTTGTTGACAATTTGTTGTTGCTACTGCTATTGTTATTATTATGTTCCTTGTTTGCTTTTGACGGTAAAATTGTGTTAGAGTTTTTGTTTCATAAACATTTCAAAAGTTATTTGTTCAACTAAAAACAATAAAGAGTGTAAACTAATTGTAAAGACAACATAAAAATTAAAATAACTATTATAATATAAGCATTACTTGCAAAATAATCTGTAAAATAGCATTGTAACACTATTAATTTGTAAGGACTAATTCAAATTTTTTTTTAATTTAACATCTACAGTAGTATATATTAATAACAGTTATAGCATGCAAGACATGAATGGTGTTTACTTCATAACATTGTAGCCACAACATTGTAATCTCTTCTATTTGTATGCAATTCCCTGAGAATCCAGTTGTTCCTGACAAAAATGTCTATTACTTCAATTCATCTACTCCACCAAGCTATTTATGGATACTATAACCTGTTAACCTTTTATGGAAGTCATGTGGTTTAGGTAATGCATTGTGTCCAACTCTGGTAACTAATAGTATCACATCATGAAGGACTGCTTTGTGACCTAAATTATTAGCCTAGAGAGGGAAAGATGGGGAGAGAGAACTAAACAAAGAAAAGGTATTGTTGTTCCAAGTGTTTTGAAAGTTTATTTTTGCCATACATAAAATTCTTACTTTTTTAGTTTCAGTTTTGTCTCTGCTAGTATACAGCTCTGGCCCATGCATTATTACTCTCAAGTAGATAAACCTTGTAATTAGAGTCAAGCATAACGTCAACTCCAGTTAAGTCAAAACAAGTATATATCAGGACTTCTTGTCTCCAACACGCCACCACATCTCCTTTAGGAGAAAAGTGATCTTGAGTCTCGCTACCAGTTCTCTCTTCTCCTAGAACCATGCAGTTTGCTGGTGTTACAGAAAGACATGTATACCTCATACCTTCATGGTGTAGCAGAAAGAAAGGAAGACATCATTACTAACAATATAATAAACTGACAAGAGGTACATGTGTCTCTCTGATGATACACCATCTTTATATACCAAAGACAATGAGAATGAGAAAGGAAGATGATGAAACTTGTATTATTTTTGATGATTTGATGTTGATACTGCTATTGTTATTACTATGTTATGTTCCTTGTTTGCTTTTGTAAAACTGTGTAGTTTTTGTTTCATTGATATTTTAAAAATTATTTCTTCAATTAAAAACAACAAACAAGTTATAAAGGCAGCATAAAAATTAAAACTGTTATTATAAAAAAACTGCTTGCAAAAAACAGGCCTATAGAGCTACAGTGAAGCATTTAAATTACTAACTATATGAACTGCTAGTGTGTGCATGTGGATATCAATCCATCACTTATTATTATTGAATGTATCATAAGACTCAGACAATCCTGGTA